AGAGAATAAAAAATCCCTTGTATTACTTAGAAGCACAAAAGAAGTTCACATTTAACATTTTTACCCAATTAAGACTGAAGTCTGATCAAAGAGCAATTAGATTATTATATATATTGTCTGGAATGATTTCTCATTTGTAAAACAAGACCAGGAAACAAATATAAATATAACTTCTGTATGTTTCACTTTACAGAACAGAAAAACATTTTATAAGGACTCCAGAAAAGCAGATGTACTTCCCTCTTCAGAATTATCCAGTGAACAACATGGTAACAGGTAATTAAAAAAAAAAATTTGGAGTAAACCCAAGTAGAGAAGAAACAAGGGAATATTTTATACAATAAAAGTGATGTAGTAGCCTAACAAGTAGAGCCCCCTCTATTATACATGCTAATAGAGGATATATCATTTGTGCATTTAATAAATTAATCTACAGAATTGGCCCAAAGATAGCCCCATATTTTCTCTGTTAAAACACTAGTCCTATGGGTAGGGTGAACACACTTCCTGTTTATATAAAACCATCCCAGTTTATGCCTGTTGTCCTGGTATTAGCTTTTACTCTCAAGTGTCTCAATTTGGAAGATAAATTATATGGACAATTATAATCATAGTTTCCTTTGAGAATCTGAGGAAACATAGGCCCCTTTGCCTAGCATACATACACACAAACATAACACACCAACTTTACATATAATTTAAAGGGGTTCACATAAGCCCAGAAATCCATTCATGAATCGCCCAGATGATCCATGGATCACCTATGGAGTCCATATTTGGGTTTCCTAGTGCCCGACAGAATGAGGTTGACCTTGAGAGGGTGGAACCAAGGCAACCAATTGAACACTGGCCACTGGAATTTGGATAGTGCTAAGTAAGGTGGATATTTGGATACTTTGATCTGGGTAGTATTTAGTAGGGTCATTGATAATTTAAAAAATAGAGATTTAAAAAACAATTGTTTTAAAAACAGCACCTTAAAAAGTATAGGTTTTTGAAATTTTGTTAAAAAAATATTTGTGTATTTATTATCTCTTTATTTAGCAGTGTCAAAGCTGTCTCCATAAATTCCTAGATGTCTTCTGTCATATTACTATTCCTTCTAGCCATTTTGGCTAACTCTTTGTTTTATTATATTTTTTCTTTTGTTCATTTGAGCAGTATAAAATAGCCTTTACAAAAGGACTTTAAAAAGAACTTTTAATGTGTAGTTTGGGGCTGAGTCTTGGAGACATCAAAGAAAACTGCTTCTCAGCTATGATAGTAGGTGACTCATTCCCTGGACTCTTAGGAGCAATTGTGGACTGCAAAGGCTAATGAACTAAGTAGAAGTTACTTAAGTTTTAAGATTGGGAGCAGCTGATTGTTGCCCATATTTATCTCTAAGCCTAAACATTCAGATAAAATATAGGTACCTTAAATCATGTTGTGGTTTCTTACTGGTATTGATTTTGCTTCAGGCAACTCCATCATTGGGTACTAAATGTCTTGTGTTCATTTGAACTTACCAAATGTTTGATAACATATTTAAAAGATCAATAATAAATGTTAAAATGAGCCATATAGTAAAGACAAATACTTACATTTGGACATGTAACAATTGTTGACATAAGGAATGTCCTAACCTGTAGAGAATTTTTATAAAAGTTTATCTGAGCCAAACAGAGGATACACCTGGAAGCAAGTTCTCAACAGAATGAGATAAATGCTTGGGAGAACAACAGTTTGCAGTTATTTTATGTGTCTGAGATTAAGGAGGGAACTAAGGAAGATTACATGAAGGTGGGCAGAAGTAACAGGGGAATGGGGTTACAGGATATTTAAGATTATGTGCTCTCTTGGGGCTGGTCACATGGAGACTGAATTACAGGGTAGTTAAGATTTTGTGGTCTCTTAAGGGTGGTTACAGTTTAATTCAAAGGTGTGTTAATCTAGATGCACAAAACCATGGACAGGGCTGTTTAAGGAAAAGCTAAATCTTTTACTAAAAAGTTATATGCTGGGGGTATCACTACCCCATGACCTGCCCTGTTTATGATCGGATCACCCTGAGGATTACTTTCCATAGAACCCTTTTTTTCCATACACACAATGCTGCTTTATGTTTCACTGCTGTCTGTTCAAAAAGACATGAGAGTTTTACATAAAAACAAACTAAAAAAGAACTATAAAAATAAACATTAGTCAGAATTCTTTTTTGTTAGTTTCAGGTGTACAAAACAATGTAATAGTTCTCCTTTTCAACCCTCACAAAGTGACAACTCCCCTCCCCCAATCCACCGCCCCCCGCCCCCCCATATCAAACATATCTATTACAATTCCATTGTCATTAGTCAGAATTTTTTTTTTTAAGTTTTTTTTATTGGGGAATTGGGGGGATGGGAACAGCGCTGGGGAATTGGGGGAAGGGGAACAGACAAGTTGCTGTCGTTTTGTTCTTCAG